TGGGCAGCAACAAAGATGTCGTTCGTGAAGATGTCACTGAAGAACCTCTTGCTGTTGCTTCTCCTGGATCGGCCGGTTCAACCCCTCGGCACAAAGTTCGGGCGAAAGCCTCGCCAAGCTCCTGCGGGGTCACCTCTTGCTGCTTGGCTGACGATGATTACGTTGCGACGTCATTCGCGTCCCTGTAGGCATCGTCGAAGCGCTCCAGTGCATTGGTGTTATAGTTTTCTCTATTTTTGTTGTATTTGTGGTTGTGCCACCGCTCACCCTTGTGTTGGGGCGTGTTGTTGTTCCTGATTAGTGGATATGCCACAATCTAGCCCTTGTGCTAGGATGGTTGTATTGGTTTTTTTCTGGTTTTTTAAAATTATCTGGACGACAGGGTTTTTGCCTCGTTCGCTAAAAACTAGGCTGTTGATGATAAATCAATATTATTAGGTGGGGACTCCCCGCCCTGTGGTGACAGTTAAAAAAACTCGTGAAATGTCTTGGGGGTCATCGGCACTCAAGAAAATATATATCTCTGAAGGTTGCTAAAATTACTTGGGGTCATGGGTACCCTAGAAAAAATATATCTTCGGAGGTGTTGTATTTTCTTGACGCTGTTAAAAATCCCACATTGTCTTTGTTTTCTTGGCGGCCAAACCCACAAAGATATTATTTGTGGTGGCCGGCCCCAAGTAATCGAATTTCCCCTGCTCTCCATTTTTGGCGGTCATCGAGGGTAGGCTGTCAAATGATTTTCTTGAGGGTTTTTTTTATTCTTAAGAGTATTCTATTTTGTGGTAGTCAATATTTTTTAAGGTAGGGGCTGGGTAGTTGAAGTATGGCTCATCACTGAAATGCAGTCAAGTGCATCTGCATCGATACGTCTGATGTGACTTTCCCAGGAGTTCATTTCGTGTTGAGTTTTTCCACTGGTCCACACGCTTACTAGATTGCTCTGATCGCCCGCGTACCGACTGGCTCTGCTACGACTTATTATATACTTAGTAGCGTGTCCGTACATTGCTACGGAATAACTAACAATTTATACTAAAAACACATAGATCGCACGATAAGATAACAATACTGCTAAATTAAATACCAACGTTAAAGTGATATTTAATCCAAAAAGCAAAATTTATGAATTTAACACAGTCACGGAGTGCGCAGCGTCGTAGGCTCACAAACTCTAGAGCTTCCAGAGATTGGGTCGAATCCAGTCTAGAGCCTCGGAACCCTGCATCTTTTTCTGGACGGTCTTCATTTCACAATGGCTCAGACATGTAGATTTTGTTCTCTTTATATTTGGATACACTTGTTCCACCGAAGCTTTCATTGAAACGTTTAGACACGAATAGTGTCTGATCAACGATGTCCCTCACCCTGGACCACTCCGACGTACGGTTGTGGAGGTTGCACTTGTAGATCGCGCTGCTGTAGGTCAAGCTCTGTGTCTCGTGGAACGTGCTCACCATGGCAACCACAATGTGTAGCTCACTGTTTGATTCCAGGTAGCTGCGGTGGCAGAGCCCCGCAGGTGGCGACAGCGATGACAGCAGCATCGTGGTTGGAGTAGCGCCGGTGGCGTTGCTGCTGCAGACGGAGATTTCTCCAGTGCAGTCGATCGCCAAGAACTTATCTTGGCAGTGGACGATGGACTCCTCGGAGAACTCCAGTTTGGTGTCGAGCAGCGTCCATGCGCTGTCGACTCCAACCCGGCTGAATGCGACCTCCGTGGAGCACCAAAGCATGGCCATAGCCACGCACTCGCGGCCGGCGGCGTCAGGCGACGCCGAGAGCACGATCTCATGGAAGAACACGTCCCTCATGTCTTCTAGCTTGATGGCTCTGCCTACGGCATCCGTGTCCCTGTAGCCGTTGGTAGGATGGTGGACCCACCAGCCGTGGACCCTAGACACGCGTTCCTATGAGGACGCCGCCGCAACGTGTTCGCTTGCTGGCGGGAGCTCAACGCTGGGGGCACAGGCACCGACGAATGGATTCAGCAGCGTCACGGACGCCGCCTCGTCCATGAGTGCCAGCCACCCACACGAGGAGCCGCACGCCACCTTGCCGCGCACGTCGAGCAGCATCTTGGACAAGACCTTCTTCTCCGGGACGCAGTAGAAGCCGACGCGGTCTGAGTCAGGGTCGAACGGGAGTAAGAGCGGCCCGAAGGTCGCGAACGGGACGGCGACGCGCCATGGGGAGCAAGTGGATCGGAAGGACGCCGCGTCATGGCCTGACAAGAGACGCTGCCCGATGGATTCAAGGAGATCCTCTGGCAGGCCGGATCTCCAGTCAGGGAGAGGTAGGGACCTTCTCTTGGGATTGGGAGGCTGAGCCATGGAAGACAGATGACATCAACTATGGTTCACGCAAGAAACAGCAAGCGAGGGGGATGGAACATGTGAGCGTGAAACCAAATGAAAAGAGGAAAAAAATTGTCCCTTTTATAAATGCAAAGAGGGGAAGTAATTAAATGTAAGCAGATTTGGAAAGTTCTCACAAATGCAAATAGGTTTCTTTTGTCTTAATTCTCTTTTCTTCTATGTTAATTCTCTTTCCTTTTGCTCGTTGCCATGTATGCTGGTGCATGCAAACATGCAATGTGTATATGGATAGTACAATAATTTTCTACTTCCTATTTTACCGTGATTCCTCTATCACATGACAGGCAATATTCAATCAAGGACAATGGCACGATCAATCAATAATTAAGATGTCGTGGGATCGCAGGCGTGGGCAGACGGACGGACCAAAACAAATGTCGCACCAAAAAATATCCACACTTTGTTCTTTTTAGTTGTAGGAGATATATTTTGTCGTTCACACACACCTTTTGGTAGTTCACTTGGATCGAACACACAGCCACAATCACGCACACGGTTGCCACGGCGTTGCCTGCGCTGTCGCGGATTCGGGCACCTCGTCAAGGACTATAGGCGAAGGACTGCTTCGACCTTGGCGGCGGTGGGTGCCAACCTGCCACGGTACTCTGCTCGCGTCGACCCTACGTCCTCCCAGCACGCGCCGCATGGCGGTGTGAAGGGTGCCGCACCGAGGGCCGTGGGGGGCGCCGGTGGGAGACGACGACAACGACAACATCGGCGACGCAAGACTAAGCCAAAGGAGATCGGCATGGGTGTGCCTGTCGACCACGCTGACAGGGCACCTACTTCTACTGCTGCACTAAGCTTCCCCGAGCCAGATCGGGTGGCGCTGGTGCTGTGCGTGAGTGTGGGCCCCCCCGCATTGGTCATTTCTTTCGACCCGATGCTGGAGGGGCTCGCCGCCTCGCTCGTCGTGAGCGGCCAATGAGAGCAGCAACACCTGAGTGTCTGCCTGCTACGACAGCCCCTCAGGAGGTTGAGGCACCAGTGGCGGACACCTGTTCCCCGGCGACGGCTGCTTAGTGGACGACATACTTGTCTCTGATGTCGCCAGTGTAGGGGCCGCCACAACTCACGCCACCACGAGCGGGAGCACCCGGCGTCGCAGAGGGTTGCACCACCCCTAGCGACGCGACGCCCACACCACGCGAAGCTGCCCGACGTCTCGCACGGTTAAATGAGGAGGTGCAGCTCGAGCGAATGCTGCCTCTAATCGCCAGCCCACCCAGGCACAAGGTGGCAACCATAGGGCAACCCATGCCAAAGTGGAGCAGACGGATTGCCTCTCAGCCGCTGGCGCACATTCCGACCTCCAAGCGGGGCGCGGTGCTCCTCATGCGGAAGATGGGCTTTGCACCGCTGGCAGCTCCAATCCCATCCGTGTCAAAGAGAGCTTACGACAACTTTTTCGTAAGGACCTTGACGTCGAGCGAAGTGGAAGCATTGGACGTGCTGTTCCCGGCAGCCAATGCTACGACTGGTAGAAGACTCTTCTCAGATGACGGAGTAGAGTCGCACGGCCAGTAGCGGAGACGCCTAGCTCCATATGTTACTGTGCTGCCCTTAGTTCGGTTGTTTACCATTATGTAATATCGAAGTTTGAAACAGTCTGCTAGGAAGGTCCAGTCATAACTGTAAGACCTCCTAGGACGCTCATTAGAAGTGTGTCGTGTGTATGCTTAAACTCTTTTTCTTCTTAATTATAATGATACACAAATTTTTTGCGTATTCGAGAAAAAAAAAGCATAGATAGCTAGCTCCACAGTGCTCTCACGCGCACGAACGATGAAGGTAATCAAGGAGCTGGTTGCTCCGGCAGCCGTTGGCGAACTCGTGAGCAGGCTAATCTCCTTCCTTATCTCCCGATACGCCAAGCATTTCTTCAGCTTGAGCTTGTTGCTCTGAAGATCCACGCCCTAGTGGACGAAGCGGAGCGGCGGCACCTCACCCACAACCGGAGGCTGCTCCTGTGGCTCAGCAAGCTCATGGAGGGCATGTACCGTGCATACTATGTGCTCGACCATCGTCATGGCGGTTCCTTGCCGGTGAGCAGCTCCTGGTCATTCTCCTTGTCTCGTTCATGTCGGCCTTTGAAGCGACTTTGCACTTCCAATGCTCCTCAACCCATCTGTGCAGCCGATGACAACGGAGTCGAGGAATTGAGTGCCATGCTCCAAAGATTGGAAGAGTGTGCAGAAGGGATGAAGGAATTCATTCTACTACTTTGCATGCTGCCCTACTATACCCCGGCGGCCTGCTGTCTCCAGCTTTCAATCTGACGACAGATACATGTTTGGCCGGCTTGTTGAGCGGGAGCAGATAATCAGCTTTCTGCTGCAGCCTGAGAGCAGCAGATTGGGCGTTCTACCACTTGTCGCTGGCCCGGAGGTCGGCAAGGGCACCATCGTCAAGCATGTCTGGGGTGCGCCGTCATTTCGCCAGGATCCTGTACTCCTATGGGTCTCTTCTTGGTGACAACTCTGCTCAAGATGTACTGGGCACACTGCGAACTGGTGGCCACGTCCTTCACGAGACGTCACCTGTCGTCGTCTCAGGAAGGCATGGGAGCAGGCATCTCCTTGTGATTAAAAACACATACGAAGTAGTGATCAACGAGGCAGCATGGGCCTCGCTCTGTGCGTCCTGAGATCCGCGGAGCCGGGAAGCAAGGTCATAGTCGTCAGCGAGAACGCCGGCGTCGCAGAGCTCGGAACCACAGCCGCCATGCGAGTGAAGCCACTGCCGCGGGAGGAGTTCTGGTACTTCTTCAGATCACTCTCCTTCGGTGCTGGCCAGACAGATTGCAGCGGCGCTTGACGGGTCATTCTTCAGCGCGAAGGTCCTCAGCAGCCTACTCAGGACGAACCTCACCGCGCAATTCTTGAGCGCTGTGCTCGGCGTCGTGCGCAGATTCGATGCGGAGCTGCGTGGTGACGAGGATCACTTCTCGAAGTTTGGTGTCGCCAAGATAGCGTTGGAGATACTCCCTGTGCCACTGAGGCTCAAGAGCGAGGTCAGACGACCGGAGCCGCCCACGCTGAGCTGCCGGGAATCACCGTCCAGGAACTACTGCGTTCAGCCACAGCTGCGCCAAGAGAGGAGGTGCGAATTGTGCTGTGGGAATCTGCGTGCCCACCTAACTATCGCTACACTGTCGTCTGCGAGAAGGTAGAAACACATGGTCCACATGCAAACATCGAGCGGAAGAGGCATGCCAGGCAGCCGTAGATGATATTCAACAATGTAAAAGATAGCTGTGAGTCTATTTTTTTTTATGGGAATTTTAATTCCATTACTCGACCATGTCAGCTAAATCGCTTGACACCAGGAACATAATACAATCCGGCACTCCAGCCAACACAGAGGGCGTACCCTCATTATTCATACTTCCTATCGACGCAAGTTCATGTGCTACTCGGTTACATTCACGTGGAACATATTTCACTTGAGGAGAAATAAAATTTTCAGCTAAAAGATCCTTCAGTTCATATACCATGCCTCCAATCGTCGACAATCTGAAGCCATTATCACAGATAGCTTCCACTACTTGTGCTGCATCAGTTTCCAGGACAATCTCTCCAATGCCAGCACCATTGCTGCTCTCACCCCTTCTATGCACGCCCAAGCTCCGTGTGCATGGAATTGCAAGCAAAGCGTTGTCTACCCGAACCAGATTGGATGCACTACGGGGTACAAGACACTCGGCAAACGCTTTACCGAGTGTAACACTCGGCATACAACACACGGCATTATTTTATCGGCAAACAGTAGTTTGCCGAGTGTTATTTATCGTGCACTCGGCAAATAGTTTGCCGAGTGTCAATAAACACTCGGCAATAATAAACTCTCGGCACAAAAATGATAACGGGATGGCACGGTGACGGCGATTTTTGCCGTGTGCACGACGGAAAAACACTCGGTAAAGTTTATCCAGTTTGCCGAGTGTCACGATTAAAACACTCGGCAAAGTTTGTAAACTTTGCCGAGTGTCATCTCCAAAACACTCGGTAAAGTGCTAAATTTTACCGAGTGTCAAGGACAGAACACTTGGCAAAGTTTACACATTTTGCCGAGTGTCACGCCCAATACACTCGGCAAACAAGCGCGCAACGGGCAGATTTTATGGTCACTTTGCCGAGTGTCCATTTGAATACACTTGGCAAAGATAAAACACTCGGCAAAAATGGTTCCCAGAATAACAGAAATTGGTTTCTTCGCCGAGTGTTTTGGCTCGACACTCGATAAAGCGTCTCTTTGCCGAGTGTTACACTCGGCAAAGCGACCAAACCCCCCCCCCTTTTTTTACTAATATGTCCCGTATAACGGACCCCTCTCAATTCACAATAAACCATCACAATTCACAATAAAGGTCACAAGCATAATTATATGTCACAGACATAATTGTATTTCACAGGCATAATAAACCATCATCACAATTTACAAACCATCATCACAATTCACAGTAAACCATCATCACAAGTCACAACTAAGTCACAATAAGCCACAAAGGTAAATGCAATCACTGCGGAGGCTCTTGGTACCACTGCGACAAATCCGGGTCTTGAGACTGATTATTTGACGCCGCCGATTGATTCTGCACAAAAGAGAAGAGATTGCATGTGTAAGCTGCAGATATAAAAAACTCACTGCAATCAGAAAGTATAACTAGTGTCTTCAAAAAAAACTTGCACGTAAGTATATATAGTACTAACTTGTATTTGTGCATGGGAAGCTAATAAGCAAGCTTCTAGTCTATTTGATTAAATTTTGGGAGAATTTATATTAAATTTTGTGTGCTGTGCTGCTGCCAGGAAATAACTATATATATTATTAAACTAATAAAGTGGGAGTACGTATAGAACTTAACAAACGCAAGAAATTTTACCGATTTGAGACTGTAGTAAGGTGTTATATATGCACCTAAGGACTAGCACACCAAGTTGTCACTATAGGCACTTTTTTTATGCTTTTTTTATGTGTTTCTTCTTGTTATGAACCGTTGAGCCGTACTGTATGAGAGCACCAACATGCTAGCAGATCTTAAAAACAAATGTTGAGATCCAATATATTTTGTATTTTGTTTATGCAAGTTGAAGCCTTGTTTTTTTTCAATTAAGCTGTATTTAAGTGCCCAATAGGCACGCCCTGCTTGCTAGCTAGTGTTAAACAAGCTGATGGTATTTAGGTATAGATTAGAACATGGGTACATATATCCCGTAACTGTAAAAGTGCAAAATTTGACATGTTCTGTACACAGACAAGTCTGCAGGCGAGAGGTCTTAGTGGTTGATCTTGTAATCTGCATTCTGAGCAGGGTGTTTGGTTCTAGCTGTCTTAATCTAGTACTTTGGTTTTTGTTCGGTTCAGCGTCGACGTGTCAAGACAAGTGAAAAGCTGGTTGAAGGTCTTCTGGGAACAAACTAATCAAATGGAAGTGTATAGAGATGGGTGCTTTTTCTGTATTGCTTCTATGAGATAAGAGATGATAGTGTCTCACAGCCTGTTCAAATTGGGGCACTAGCCACTGCACTTTCTAATGCCCCACCTGATCAGCTTATGGAGATGGACCAGACGGAGGTTCTCCACCTGCTAGAGTTCACAGATGCTCTCAAGGCAATGGTTGCTGAAACCATGGAGGTCCTACGTTCTAGCCAGCATCTCCAGCAAAGCAATGCCTCCCCCGAGCAGCAGCTGGTTAATCTGTCACTGAAGGGCTTGGGTTGAAAATTGGAAATTGCAAGTTTTGATTGCAATTTGAAGAGACATGTACTTATATAATTTGAAGAGGCATGTAGGTATATAATGTGTCAACTACAACAAGAAAGTCTAATGCACGCTCCTAATCTCTCTCTCTCTCTGAGGTCAGCACAGAGAAATTAGAGAGGGAGTTAGAGAGAGGTAGGGACTTATAGAGAGAGAGAGAGCGTCAGAGAGAGGAAGCTGCGGCATCTCCTGCACACAAGCAAAGACTTGCTTTTGGCTGGCCGGCACCACATCCACCTACGCAGTGGTAGCTTCCTTGCTCAGCAGCCATGCATGCTTCTATCCTATCATGTGTGTATACAGGCACTTCTACCACTAGTACTATGCCATCTAAAGTTCTCACATCTAAAGTTCTCTAAGTCAAAGTATTCAATCTGCAGTATAAGATGTCAAGTGACTCACATGAGTAGTTGTGGGTGGCTGAGGTGGATGGAATAGCACCGGTGGCGGTGGCAAAAGCTTGACCCATACTCGATGCAAAATTCTGCATGTATTGGAACATTTGATCCATCTACAAATATGATTAGAACACATTCGAATCTAAGCAGTCCACTACAGAACATTCAGAGCAAAGCAAACAGACTGCAGGCGCAGATCCAGTAAAGAACATGGGTGTGCACATGTATGCATGATAATCTTTGGAAGGAATCGAAGTTAGCAGGCATAATACATGTGCGCACAGCAGGAAGGGAAGAGAAGGGGTTGGCACACCTGGTTGTTCTCCTCACCGGAGAAGTGCGGCGACGTGGCGGGAACGGTGTCGGTGCGTCGCGGTGGCGGTGGTCTGGCGAGGTCGTCCGACGGCTTCACAATCGCGGGCGGGGCAGGGCGCTGAGGGCGGGACGCGCCGGGGGCGGGGCGGGGCGCCGAGGGCGGGCGGCGCTGGGGGCGGGAAGCGCCGGGGCGGGCGGCGCCGGGGGCGGGGCAGCAATGCCACGCCGGTGGCGGGGCGCGGTGGGGCGGGGAGGCGGTGGGGCGCTGTGGGGCTGGGGTTGGCGGCGTGCGGTTGTTTGCGCTGCGCGAGGGTGAGGGCCGGGGGCGCTAACCGGTGGGTTTTTTTAAGGAGTATGCCGAGTGCCAAGATCTGGGGCACTCGGCATTATTTTTTAAAATGTTTCATTACGGCCCGATACTGTGCAGTGGGCCCAGTCGACGGATTTGCCGAGTGTCCCCTATATGACACTCGGCAACTGTTCTTTTCGCCGAGTGTCAGGTACAAAACACTCAGCAAAATAAATCAATATTTCATGCTCCACCATCCTCCTTCTTCATAGCGTGTTCTACTAAATTTGTTACGATGTAATTTAAAAATACCTTGTCAAATTCACTCAACAATGCATATTTGATTTTTCTATGAATATTAATCCATTATTTCATGTTGTTATAGCTCAAATTCAATATATATCAATTAAAATTCTATAATTGCTGTTAATAAATTAAAATTATCAAACGGATCTAAAAAATTACCAAAATTTAACGTGAACCAATCTATGTTGTCTATTACTTATACAAAAAGTTTTAAAGTCAAACCCCGATTTGGCCGTCACTTTGACTCCAAATCTTATCGAATCCTTCTAAACGCTACGATTCTTGTACGGAGATGCTTCTGTTTGTAAAGGTCATACGTGACAAATTGTGCGAAACCTTCTCAATTTTTTTTCACAGTCTCCACATATGATATCAGGAGATCTTGACAAATCTCGTCATTTTCAGACTTCGTTTGCTTTTTTTAGAATTTAAAAACCATTCGGCCACACGTTTGTGGACGTGTTTCCTGAATAAAATGTTCGAAAATTCTTTTCATTTACCGAGTAAGGCCCCAAAATGGACTCAATAACATGAATATGATTTCTCCACTCAATTTATTCCATTATTTGTATCACTTGCTGTTCAAATTTGACTTAAACCAAAAAAATTCCTCTAAATGCAATAAATTACTTAAATATAGCAAACTGAAGGAGAAATATATCAAATTTTAACATGTAGTACCACTTGTTGTATGTGGATAGTAGAAAAAGTTTGGAGGGCAGGAGAGAAAAAAAAATTATTATTTTGTCGAGTGCCACTAAAAAACACTCGGCAACAACATTACTTTGCCGAGTGTAAACAAAAAACACTCGGCAAAATTATTAATTTGCCGAGTGTCAAGAAAAAACACACATCATACTTTGTCTTTGCCGAGTGTCTCTAACGGACACTCGGCAAAGTTCTAACGGCATGGCGGCGCACCCAACGGCCGTCAGATGTCCGCCGCACGCCCAGTGCACGTGACCCATTTTGCCGAGTGTCCGTGGTTGCCGAGAGTTTTTTTTTTTGTATTTTGCCGAGTGTTTTATATTAGGCACTCGGCAAAGTTTGCTTTTGCCGAGTGCTATGTGTTTGTCAAGTGTTTCACTAAATACACTCGGTAAAGTGGACGTTTGCCGAGTGTCCGATGGAATGCACTCGGCAAACTCTCAGGCACT